TGGAAATATGTAGCCGATTTTAGTTCTATGAATTTGATTGTACACACCGCTGACCGCATTGATGGCCGCCGCCACGTGTTCGTTTGTCGAATGGCGATCCCCCAGAGTTCGTCAATTTACCTACAGCAGGCTCCCAGCCTGGGAGGTAAATTGCCAGCACACTTCTACTTCTGGGTGGTCCACCTGTGTGGTACTTGGTTCAGTAAGCCCCATTTACTGAACCAAGTGGGAGAAAGCCAGGAACACAGTATATTAACAGTTTGGGGACACTGGGGACACCGTCTTAAAGGGGCATTGTTCCCAAAAGTCACAGTAAGTCCCCAGATGGTTCTTAAAGGGCCAGCAGCAGCATAATAAAATACAATATGCCCAAATACTGTATTTAAAGGGCCAAATCTCCCAGGGGCCATAGTCAGCAGGCAGGAGGTGGGCACACAGGCTTCTCCAATGCCCAGTGGCGAGGTCGGTTTCGCCACAAGCAGTGTTACCCCAGATAGCTATGCCATGGAGCCCATTCGTGTAACGAAAGGCTATGTGAAAGACTTTGGCTCCATGGCGATTGAACTGTATGTGTGTGCTCTGAGTGCCATTCGGTTCTAATGTGCGCTCAGATCTGAGCTATCTGGGGATATGTTGAATGTATATGTTTTATGTAGTAATTGTAACACTGTGTAATTTTATGTCTTTTTACTAACATGTGCTAATGGAGTTTTGCCTCTGTCCTTGGAGATAATTGGATTCAGGGCCAGATTAAGAGCCCAGTGGGCCTGGTGCAGACAATTATGAGGGGCCTAATTACAGAATCTTATCGACCAAAAACACTAAAACAGTCATACCTCTCAAGCGTTATGTATCTGGTGGAGATGTTGCCGGAGGGAATCTCATAGGATGCAGCTATAAGAAAACTCAGATTCTCTTAAAATATGTTACTCTCTCTCTAATTCATGCTTTCATCTTTCAAGTAAATCCATACCCCCAAATAGCAGTGTCCAGTGATGCAGGAAGTCAATGGGCGGGGTAAAAGGGTGTGCCACTGG